AAAGACCGTCGCTTTGATTCAGATAGTGTTTATGTAGGTGCTACTTTGAGAAGCTTGGAACAAAGAATCAAAGAACATAAATACTCTATTAGAAAGAACAACGATAGCACCGTTTTAGCATCTTATGCCAACCAGCAAGGAATTGAGGTCATATGGGACCAAGCTTCCATCATTAGACCCACGTCTAACAAGCACTCCATCAAACATCTCGAAAAACTGGAGATTTATAAAGCCCAAGGGAAAACTACTTGTATCAATCATAGGGACGCCCACTCTCTATCCACAGCATGGAAATCATTCTATTAAGATAACCTGTAATTTTTACGAAACATTAATTTTTAATGAGAAACTGTTGAGCTCTTTATTTTTATTTATTTATTTATTTATTTATGTACAGTATTTATTTACTTTTAGTCTTATATCCCTAACTTTTTGTATTTATTCCGTTAAGCACTCATCATTATGCATGCGCAGTTATTATTTTTTCGTAAATTTAATTTTTGTTCTATTTTTAATGTTCTTTCAACTGATGAAGATCGCTAAAGACGATCGAAAACGTTTTTATATTATTAAATTATTTGCTGAAATTTATAAAAAAGGTGATAATTTTGATTAATTCTTTCTAGTTCCAGTATAAGGTATTATTTTTACATAAAATAAAAATTCTTAATAGCATTTTAAATCTGAACCTTTTTTAAGGTTTATGAAGTCTTACAGCATGTCACTTAGTCACACTCTTGTTCTGGAAAAGATTACTGTGACTCATTTCTTTGATTTACACTGTACACTAAGACTCAGATCAGTCTTTGTCCAGAATTCTCAGTTCTAGTTGTCTATGTGATATCAGTGCTTCTCTGTTTCATTTATGCTAATTACTTTGCAAACATGGCTCCAAAGATAGCTCTGATAAGAGAGAGAAAAGTCATAAAGTGCCTACTTTAAAGGAAAAAATTAAAGTTTTAGATTTAATGTGAAAAGGAAAAAAAATCTGCTTCTCAAAATGTTTTAAGGTTATTTTTATGATTTATGGTATCATGCTGTTTATTGTTAATACGGTGTTTATTTGTCTTATATATAAAAAAATGTATGATAGGTTGTTAGTATAGGAAATAATAATTAATAGGGTTAGCTATTTTATGTTAATTTCTGATTACAAAAGAGACCTTGATCACAAATGGCAGGGCCCATTATATATTCTTTTTCTGAACATTTTGTTCAAATGGATCTGAAGATGAAATGTAATATGTTTTGAAAAGCATTTAACTGTTATAAATAAATAAACAGACAGAGACTACATCATCTCAACATACAAAACAAGACATTTTTTAAATCTTTATAAATTTAGATAAATATGTATCATGATGAGCATTTTAATGTTGTAAAAATATCAACAACTTTTCATTAATATTATTAATTTGTTAGAGATTTTAACCAAACAGTAATACTTATTTGAAATCTATAATCTGAACTCTATATTTTATACTGTGTTACTGTATATTGTGTAAAATATTTATATATGAATACTAGTTTTAGCAGTATCTTGTTATATTGTAAATTTAATGTCTAAACTATTCAAATGAGGTTTTTTCAATTTCAATGTTCATAGCTTACTAAGACCCAACAATCACAGAATAAATACCTATATATTAGTAGCTCAAACTATATTTACACTTTAAAGAATTAAAAAATATCCTTAATTTAAAAGATGTTCTTATAAATATCCTTACTTTATAAGATTTCTTAATATTTTATTAAATAAAAATATATTTATTTAATATATTATATCATAGTCTTATATTACATCTTAGTTTTTCATATTACTTTTTAAAAACTTACCAAATAATCTTCCTCACAATAAACCTTTCCATGTACATTATAAAAAGCCTTGCCCCGCAAAGCTCTTCCTAAAAACATATAAAAACTTTAAATTAAATGAATTGTAAAAATGATAAAGGACAAACTTGCTTGCTTCAGGAAATTCAAAGTACAGTAGAACCTCGATTATCCGGACTAATTGGGGATGAAGGTAGTCTGGATAAGGAAAAATCCAGATAATCGAAACAAATACTTTAATTTGTCTTTTAATGATAATACAACACGTTTTCTTTTCGATGACATATCGGTAATATTAAAAATAAATACTGTATTTAAATCACGATCAAATTTTCAAGAAACAAACATTCGTATTGAATTTGGACTACTACTGACCAATGCTAACAGACTACCTATTGTTTAAAAGGCCTCTGGTGGCACAAGAAGACAGATTTTATAAAATAAAGCAGTTGAAACTGCATTTTTATGAATAAAAATTTGACAAACTATTTATCGTTTTATGACGAGTAAAATTTTTTCGTTGCGTTCGCTGCTTTTAAGTAATGCTTAAACTTTAGAGGCGCGCAGCCCTTCGGACCGCGAGGCATAGGTGGTGGCCCACGTTGCCCATATGCCGCGCTTGGTCATAGAAATGATGTAATTTGAATATAAATTATTTATAAATACATATGTCAAGTTATATTTTTATTATGACACAAAATATATTTAAGAGTTTACGACCACTGTGCGGGTGAGACGTTGTTGAAACAAAAAAAGTTATGCATTCCATCACGTACATAAACAGTATCATAATTCGCCAAGTGCAAATCAGCAAATTCGTAAAATTTTTGTTTATTTTGAACAATCCGGATAATCGAAAATCCGGATAATGGAGGTTCTACTGTATTTATTATGAAATGTTTCTATCACACTTTGGACAACCTTCAACATATACTGTAAGTAAATCAAATGTGACCATCTTTCTACATTTAATTTATATGCATGCTGAAAACATTTCAAAATAAATATTTTTAATTTCCTGAATCAAGCAGTTTTGTATTTTGAACTAAAATACTATATCTAGTTCGTTGTTATTCAAAATAGAAAAGAGAAATCAATTTTATAAACACACATTCCATAATCTTAAATTTATTACCAATAATAATGATAAGAAAAAAGTTGTTAAAAATCTTCAGTACTTAACAGATGCATCTATTGTTCCTAGTTCTTAGAGAATATTTCAGTAATATAAATATTACAAATATTTCTGTGGAAGATAGTATCGTTAGACCCATAGTTTGAGAAATGCTGGTCTTGACAAAAAGCTAACAGTTTCATGAGATAATATGAAAGTGTAGAAGCTTTAAAATCAGAAGAGAAATGAAAGTGTTATAGATCTACTAAAGATGTTTGAAGAATAATGTTATTAACTGTAGAGACTTTGGAAATGATTTGTGAATAATTTTTCATCCCATAGGAACACACAACATGTCAGTTTTATTTTATTTTACTATTTATTTTAATTTGTTTTATTATAAATGCATTTATTAATAAAATATTCTACTATTATTATGAAAACATTATTTTTGTTTGTAATCTAATACCTAGGTCTTCATGACAACAAAATTATTTTCTTGAATATCTCAGATGATGAACATTATAGTTCAAAAATACTTAAACTTTTTTTTTATTAAATTTAATCTCTATTAAAAAGTTTATTCTGTTATTTTAGAGCAGAGCATTAGTATCAGTATCACTACACATAATTTCTAATACTAGTAGAAAAAAAACCATCATCTGGCCATTACATATAAAATCGAATTTGATTATTCAACCAAATGCTTTTCTATAGCTTGGAAGAATAAAGGCCTATGTCCGTAACATTGGCTCTTATTTTTCCAAGCCATAATTATCATCAGGTTGTTTTTAGAATGTTCTATAAACTTAATACTGATAATGATAGTTGCATTTGGTTTCTATGTCTATTAATTTAAGGTTGTTACAAAGTTATGGAAGACTGGTTGAGAGAGACACCACTGTATATTCTGAAACAGCACCAAATTTTTCTTCAAAAATTATGAAAAACAACATACATACATACATACATACATGAAAGACATTGGCCATACACGAGCTGTTTAGCCAGCAGAAAAGAGGGTAAGGGAAAGGGGACGGGAAGAAGAAGGAAGAGGAGATAGACATTAGAGAAATCCCTCTGAACAGCATACATAAGGCTACTGTACCCTTTATGTTTAATGTTGGCATGCAGTTTTTAGGCTGCAAGGCTATAGTCCCCTGAAGGGTGTAAAAGAAAACCCGAGTGTAGCAAACACCAATAATTGAGTGCTGCCATGAATAGCTAGTGTAGAAGTTAGTGCCAAGTGATTGTTAGTAGGAAGACTTACATCTACATAATACTAATAAAACTGAATGCGAGTGTGAATCTTAATACTATTAATAGCTAGACAGACAATGCAAAAAGCAAACGAACACATGACAAACTAGACAAGATGAATGAACTGACAGAGACAAATGAGCAAGACTCCAAATTTTTTATTTTATTTTATTTTATTTTTTTCAAACATTAACTTACTCACTAACTAAACTAACCTACCATAACTTAGGACAAACCTAACCAGACGACTAAAGCTAACAACCCTAATCGAATTTAACCTAACCTATCATAACCTAACTGGAAACCAAGTTGAGTCCCTAATCTAACTTACAACTAGGACTAACTTAAACTAACCAAATTTAGACTGGAAAAAAAAGACAGAAAATAAGAATTAAAATACAAATTTGAAAGGCAGCTATATACAGACAGTTGAAACAAAGCAAGTGAAAGCTAATTGACATCTACACCCCCGGAGTGAGTGCTCTCAGGAGTCCCACTAAGGGATATGAATGCGAGTAGATGATGTAACATTGTGTGTGTGGGAATGAGTTGGTGCGGGTTGCAAGGCCAGTTGTACCCTTCAAGAATAAAAGCTCTCATTAAACTATCCCTAATGTGATTGTACCTATTGCAGCAAAAAACTGTTTGGTCCTCCTGAATACCACAATCACATTGTGGATTGTCCCCAAGGTAAAATCTATGCAACTATTGCGTGTCCTGTAAGTAGCTGAGTGAGGGTGTAACTAGGGTAAAAGTGGCAAAGAATTACAGTAGTGTCAACCTTGGGGATGAAAGTGTAGGTGAGCCTACCAGTGTGTCATGGTCCAAGCTGTCTTGCCAGAGAATGAAGATTTTCTTCTTGACGTGATTATTGATGTTTGAGGTAGGAATACAACTGAATGTACTAGTGACTGAAGACTTTGCAGCTTGTTTGGCAAGACGGTCAGCAGTTTCATTGCCGAAAACCCCACATGACCCGGGACCCATCAGTACAGACAAAAAAGAGGAGTTCCCATAGGGACTCCTCTTTTTTGTCTGTACTGATGTCTGTTAAAGGTGAAAAAAAATTCATAACAAAATTTTGTTATGAATCTTTTTTCACATTTAACAGACCTATGGGAAGTCCCATGTCAGGACTCTTGTGTGAGCTTGTATTGAGAAAATTGGAAAAAAGTGCTCTTTAAATGACATTGTGTATTTTAAAAGATACGTTGACATCGTCTTTGTAGTTTGGAAGAATGACAAAAAAATCTATGATTTTATTAACAAGATCAACAACAATGATGATGGCCTCATGCTGAAGATTGAATAGAAATGTGCCTCAAGGATACATTTTTTGGATATTAACATTGAGTTCAAAGAAGGACATTTGGCCACTAAGGTATACGTAAAACCAACGCATAGCCCTCTGTACATTCTGTCCCACTCTAATGATCCTTACCAATACAAAATGGCTGCCTTCCGTGCCCTTGTCCAGAGGGCCTTTCTCTATTGCAGTAATGTGGTGGATAGGCAAAAAGAGATTAATAGAATATTACATATTGTCAGATCTCTAGGGTACAGAGCAGATATGATAACAACATTGATCAGAAATTACAAAATAAACAAAACTAAGGCTCAAAGCAAAGATTTCGAAAAAATCACAAAGTTCACGTATAATAGAATGAAAAAAGCCATCATGAAAGAAATCTCAGCCCGCAAAAAGTCCAAGTTAGTTTTCAAGAGAGCTCCTAACCTGTACAAATTATTAAGGAATGACAAAGACAGCATGGATAAAGAGAATAGACCAGGAGTGTACAGGATACTGTATGAAAATTGTGAAATAGACATTAATAAAAATTACATTGGTGTCACTAATAGAAACTTATGAGTCAGATTAAAAGAACACAAGTACAATATCAGCAAGGGATCTAACACCACAATACTATCGCAATTGGCGCAAGTTGAAAGTTCAGTCGTCAAATGGGACGAAGCAAGTATTATTAAACCAGTACATTCACCGACATTGTCGATTTGCGCCGAAAAAATTGAAATATATAAGAGCAGGTTACATGATACATACATTAATTCTAGAGATTCGGAAGGGATGCCTTCGGCCTGGAAATACTTAATCAAATGAATAGAAAGCTCTTAATTTAATGCATTGATTTTAGTATTTTTGCATGTTCTTGCATTTTATTGAATTTCATATAGTGTATTATTATATAACGTTGTAATATTTAATTATCCTATGCATATATTTATATACATATTTTCTTCTTTATAAAAATAATTTTTATTTTATTTCTCTTTATGCATATATATATATATATATA